TCTCTAAAGGGGTTTAAGTATTTACCCTGAACACTATCAGACAGTTTCTAAAATTTTCCTTATCCTGTTGCAAAAACACTTCAAAGAGAATCATAAACACAGCCCTTTGTGCTTTCAGCACACACTTTGTTTTGGAAGCTTAAGACTGAATTCCCTCAGAATTGTAAATATTTTTTTTTCCTGAAAGATGTGCAAGACTTTTTTTTTTTTTTAAGAAAAAAAAAGAATCTACTGAACACAATGCTGAATCCTTTCTCTTATTTCTAATGGCTAAAAATATTGAGGTCAAGGAAAATAATGTCAAAAATATTAAAAAAAAGAAAAACAAGTCTTTGGGATCAGGTTGTCTTGCTGTTGTTTGAAATCGAAGATAAATTTCCAGGAATATCTGACTCTTGCTGTACATGAAACAAAACCTGCCAAAAATACATTTATTTAAAGGGTCTGGTCTAAACAGATAAGAAGAGCCCCAAAAGACAAGAGATATGGCTAAAATTTGGGTCTTTGAGCTCCCATGTTGTGCCTACATTTTACATCTCATTAGGCAAACACTATCACCCATCACCACGTGCTCCTCCAATAAAGCAGTGTGACGCTGCAGTATCTAAGCACAAGGGGAAAGCTAAAAGAAATTAAAATCATAGCTCAGAATTCTTGAAATTTGGCTGCCAAGGTCAGACCAATTCAAACATCAGTTAAGTTGCTTTGCATTTTCTGAAAACGCTAAACAAACAACCAGCCTGTTTGTGATCCCATTATCTTTCTGTGTGTTTTTCCCCCCTCCTCTGCCCCCCAGTATAATTGGTTAGCTGTTTAAAGTGCCAAAGTCTAGAAAAGCTAAGAGAATTCCTTCTAAGATTCCTTTTAAAAGCACATTTTATCTTATAGCTTATGGTGGTTATTCTGGAACTGAAATGCCTCGATTTAAACATATATTTAAGCTCTTGTTTTAATTTGGGGGGGGTGGGGGGGGGGGGAAGAAAAAAGAAACAAGAAATATATTACAGCCCTGGGCTGAGATTCTGCAGCTCAAGTTTCAGCCCAGACCGTCAGGCTATAAGCCCATGACAACAGTGGCTTACAGCAGAAACTACAGCATACTTCATACATAGCATTAGTACTGAAGAATGAAACAGATCCCCAGAAAGGAAAGAAAAACAATTTTAAATGAAAATAATCTCTGCTTTCTGATTTCTATTCAGTTACACAAGCAGATAAAATATAATATTGAGAATAGCAGTAAAAGTATTATGATGAGTTAATGTGCTGTTTCCTGTTTTTTTTTTCCAAGAACTTAAAAATTAAAGTGTATCAGTGGAGCACAGAGCTATCAGCTGGCTTGAATACCAGTTTGCTCATTACAACTACACAGGACGTGCACGCTACTGTTTGCACACAACATTTGTGAATCAAAAGGTATTGGCATAACAGTATCAATACTTATATTTTGGGATGCTGAAAAGTGAAACAAATGGTGTAGCAATTACTTGCGTTTTAGTTACACCATTAAAAATTAATTCTTTAGGATTTATGTTACATTCCTTTGAGTAAAGCCTTAAGAACAGGAAAACAGCTATGCTGCTAAATAAGTTAAGTCACTCATTCCCCCCCCCCCCTCTGTATTTTAGAACTACAATTTTTTCAACTTGTGAAATTCCTGTGTAAATAGATGGGATTAAATGGAGGCTACCCTACCTAACGTAATTATATATGTTGTGCTTTTATACTGCAGGGAAACTGATACATTTTAATAATCCCAGTCTTGGCTCTTACCCACCAAAGTCAATAAAGGTTATTAAGGCCAACTGCCATATAAATACATTGCTACATTGCTAAATGGACTGTCAAAGCAGGAAATACAATTCATACCATACAGCACTACCAGGGTCATCATAAGAAAGAGAAAAAAAGAAAGGAAAAAAAGGAACACTGGATATATAAAAAGAAGTCGTTAAAGATTTGGTATTTGAGTATAATCATATATGTTTACTTTTCATTCCACTGATTTACTTTTTCAAATGGGAATCAGCCTGAAACAAAATAAACAAAAAAAAAAAAAGACTGTAGGACTTGTACAGCGCTTACTGATTTGGCACAGCATTGAAACATTTCCATAGCTAAAATAAATGTCAGATTGCAAGGTTTGCATGATATCAGACCCTGAGAGACAAATTGTCTCTCCACTGAATCTCAGAACAGCTACAGCAAGACTTCCTCACATCACATGAGATTTCAGCTTTTCAGACTTCTCTTTGCTCAGAAAGCAAAGCTTGTACAGTCTTTTTTTCAAATGGTAACTCTCCCTTTGAATTCAGCAAGCATTTATCCTGATGTTGCACATGATAACGTGTTAATCTTGGATGACTTTTTAAGAAAAAACCCACCTCAAACACTTGAATAGCCTTCATATTTTCAAGGGAGGGGGAAAAAGAAGAAGATTGGTTAAACTGCTTTAGATTTAATGGTTCATAAATTCATGAGGTAATATTGCAGGAAATGTGATGTTTTATCAGAATGTCATTCAAATGAAAGGTTTAACATTTACATCACAAGAGCAGCTCTAAGTAAAACTATCCTCAGGGAAAGAAATGCCAGGACTGAACATTACGATAAAATGGTGTGCTTGCTATAATGTACAGAAACATTAAATAGAGCCCAAAGGTTTGAAGACAGTGGGTTTGAATTCCTGAGGCATTGCACTTTGCTGTGATACTGGAGCAATTACAATTAGCAGAATAGGAAATTTTGGAAAACTTTTTTTTTTTCCCCTTCTTTACAATAGCATTGCCAAACAAGGGAAAGAAAGGCACACAGGGAACCCAGGACTGTATTACTCCAGACACATTCAAAAAATTCCAGTCAACAGCTGTTAAGCTCACACAAAGAAAAATTCATCACTTAAGACTTTTCTTTTAAGAAATAGTTCCTCTTAAGATTAATACTCTACCAAGACAAGATCCACAAATGCAAGACATGCATACTTGAAGCATTTTTTCACATTACACAAGGGAATTTTTTATTTTATTGTTTTTACCTTTAAAAGAATCATTCAGTTAAAATAAATTTCGGGAAAAAGCATTGCCTGCAGACTACCTTCAGAAATACCTTTTTGATTTAACTTAATGCTGTGGAAGTTAAGCATGCACCAAAACACTGCACTTTTTATGTTAAATTGCTGTTGAATTTGTTAACCCACAATTGATTTCCTGTGTTATGGAATCTTAGAGATTACAGCTAACTTGAAGCAACAGGGATAATTCTCGATGTTAATGCTCCATTTCTATGCATTTTTATAAAGTCGGTGCTTCCTGTTGCATTAAAACTGCGGCTCAACATTGCCCCCTGCTGTCAGTTCGTGAAACACAAAGGACAAAATGTAGGTTAAAAACAAAAAACCCACCCCACCTCCAAGTCCAAAATACAGTAAGCATCAGATTTACTCAGAGACCCAACAAAACAGACATTCCCAATTAACATTCTCTTCTGTCTCCGTCAATAGTTGAAATTAATTGTGATTAGTGTATTATAAGTCATAAAACATTAAAGCAATTTTTAAAATTTAAATTGGAAGCAGCTTCTGTCTTGGCCCAAGCATCAGCTCACTGATAAATATCATCCCGAGGCCTGTTGAAAGGAGATACACTGACGCCACCATGTTTCTAATTAGAGACACATGGCAGTGTCACACCAATTGCAGAAAACCTAACCCTAGAGAATTCCCTGCTTTGCTGTTTTTCCATGTTCTCAACACACAATGGATATAAAATAACAATCAAACATTCTTGTCTCTACCTCATCTAAGCCTCTGTTACAAGGGGGTAAGTTGTCATTTGAAAGAAAAACAAACTAAAGGGTTGTTGTTTTTTTTTTTTTAAATGATAAAGGTCGCTCCAGATTAGCTGATTTTGAGAACAGAAAGATGAGGAAAAATACAAAGATAAACAGGTCAAATTTTTCCCCCTCTTTTATTGTACGACAGTCCAAAGTTCAGCAATTCCTCACAGCAACTGATTTCACACACAAACATCCCACTTCTCCACACTTACTTTCCAGAGTCAAAATCAGCTGTTGCCATGAAAAGCTGAACACGTTAGAGAGTAATAACATTTCTCTCAAAACTCAATTAGCAGCCTCTTTTTGCACCACGCCTCTGGAGATTTAAAAAAATTTCAACAAGCGATATTCAGTATCCTCAACCACAAGACAAACTCCTCCAAGATGAGGGATGAGCTGAGGCTTACACAGCGACCACCAGAAACGACGTAAAAGAAGCTTCTCGTGGAGGTGTAAGGATATCAGCAAGACATGACTGCCCATGTAGTTCCTTCTGCTTACAGATCTAGAAGCAGGTATATTGGCAATTGTGTTGAACACTTGCAAAGTCCCCCACCTGAGTCTCTACTTAGCAAAAGCAAGCGAGCTAAGGGTGGTCACCCAGACAGTTTTGAAGGAAGGCAACGATGTACTTTTGAAAACACAGCAGCTATCCTGCCTCTAGTTATCCAAGAAACTAATCACCTCTAGCCGGTCCTAGCCAGGGTGTAATTGTGCACATGAACTACTAACAGATAGGTGCACCTCCACATCATCAGATTTTACCCTAAACTTTCCCCAGATACAGTCAGCACTGTTGTGACTGGCAGAGTTGTGCTGTCTATCTTGGTGCTGAATGGAAAAGTGGCACTGCACAGTTCTGGGTGCCAGTTGGTGTGATGCAGTAACTGCCCATCAACTTCTGACGCTGCCAAACTTTAAAAACAAGCCGAATCAGGAAACAATTAAAATATCCTCTTGGTTTTTGGATCTCATTTTGCTCATATTTGTTTTGGCTACTGGGGGAGAGAAACAAGAGGAAGCACTGGAAGGCTGACACTTATTCTACTTTTCATATGTTCTGAATAAAGCAGAAATCCTGTTACTACAGTATAATTAAAAACGTAACTGTTAGTGCTCTCAGAATTAAACTCCAGAAAGCTTCAGACTATGAAACCAGTACTTACCATAATCTCCATTTTTCTCCAAAATTCTTCCAGTTTAGCCATAGGCTTAAGCCACCAGTCAGTGCATTTCAAATACCTCTTGCCTTGAAACCAAAACTGCCTAAGCCACTCAAATTCAACCTGCAAGACAAGAACACGTGGTTGTGTAAGTCATTTATTTGTCACTAACTGTGGCAGGACTGGGGTAGTACATGAGTACAGATATACCTAAACAATCCTTTGGAAAATGACAAGACTACTGAAGCATTCATCTCTAAAAACATCCTTATGCACAGTTGTTATTTTTATTTAGTAATACAAAGTACAGAATAAAATTGCAGCACTAAATTGTGCTAGAACACAGCCTAGTCAATTGCTATGTATAACAAGCACAGCTTTATAATGAAAAATAGTTTCCCCAAGTTTACCAACCAGTCTGGTTACCAGACAAACTGCCAGTAGCCTCAGGATGAGCTGCAGTGCTGCAGCCAGGCTCGTGCTCCCTCTACTGAACCTCCTGTACAGCCAACCTGCCCTGTGCATACTGAGAGTGGAAGGCAGCTGTCTGCTGCTTGGCACATTGGGAAGAACAGGCCCCACCGCTTTTCTGTTTATGTGGGAACTGTGCTTTACAAAGAAAACATTATCCCAACAAAGCAATAAGGCTTTATGATGAGAAGAGCATTGCTTTTATTCAGAATATGAAATACAAATCATACAGTACGTTGCTAGTTTATTTGTTGTTAGTTTTTAATTTCATATGAGCAGCTCTTCAGCTTTAAGGCATGATAGTTATACATAGCTGATCAAATATTCTTCAAGCAAAATAATTCTATTTACCCTAATTCCTGCTGAGCCCGATTGCTATCTTTAATAGCAATCCATAGTTCTGGCCTTTAGAATTATGTACTTATTTTTGTTGTGGTAGTTACATTTCACCAAGTTCAAAGTTGCTTTAGTCATTACTTGCTTCCACAAAAGATTTTATTCATCCCTGCTTGACTCCACAGTAAACAAAGGCAACCTGACAACGTGAAGGAGTCAAGAAAACTGCCCAAAGCTGTCACCAAACTCTCTGCAGAATTCTCAGAGCGCTTCTGCTAACTCAATGCTTGGTCAATACAGTTATGAGTGCAATAAAAGAAACAGAAATTTGAAATGTTTAGAATGAGCATTAACTTTGTTAGTAAAATATAACATGATTAGTTGACAGATGCAATCTTGGAATATTTTCAAAAATTGACTGTAACCTTAGTGGCTTATAGTACAAAAGTCTGGGGACGTACACCCTACATAAAAATAGCTGAAGTAGTATTTACTGCCTATGAAGTACCAATCTATGCTTCATTAAAAATCAGTACACAATGTTTCAGGATGGCTGAGCACACCAACAGTTCAACAAGAGCTTTGAGTACTCACTACTCCCTTTTTCTTCCCTATTTTTGCTGGCTGCTTTCACTGAGAGGGCAATAACACAAGATATCTGGCAAATATGATTCAGGAAATGAACCACATTAAGCCATTAATCAAAGAAAAGCTATTTTAAAAAAATGAAAGCCAATGCTACAATATGGCTCATCATGATAATCTATTTCAGTCAATCTGATTTTTAACTATACTCATATTGATTTGTTACATTACTCTATGTAATTTCAGCCCAACTCAAGTCTGACATCTTGGCCAAACCTTTAATGCATCTTGATCCCTTACAGCATACACAAGAGCAATGGGCTAGTTAATTTTCTGCAGGATACCTGATCTCATCAGATGTCAGTGCACCAACATGTGGCTGTTAAGTGATGTGGACTGACACATACTGGGGCTCTTATGCACAGGTCAATATTCATCTCATGGTGCCTCAGTTTAGCTCTGAGTTAAAAGAAGAGGGGGGAAGAGAAGACCAACATTTCACCCACCAACTGAGCCACCAAGCAGACTGACAGCTGAGCTGCTGACTCTGACCAGGTGACTGCTGATTCTGAAAAAGTCATCTTGATGAAGCACAGGGACTAATTCCTCTATCACTTATGCTTTGAAATTAGTAAGCATGTACACTTCTGCTAAAAACCTGCAGAGATGCTAGTTATTCTGAGTTTGTTTGGTATTTTAAAATTAACACTAGCTCTAAATTAGCATGAATTCCTAAACTCTTCAGTTGAATTCTAGTCACTAATCTCTTCCTGCAGGAAGATGGCAATTGTACAGGCTTGCTTCCTTCCACCTCTTTATATGAAGAAGAACTATACCAAGAAAAAACAAAACATGCTGGAGAGACAAAAACTCAATTCTAGCCTTAGTAGAACTAAAGGTAAAGGTACTAACATTCATCTGCAACAAAACACGCAGGTTAACTGTTTTTGCCAAGTGTTTTCCTGGGCTTAATTTAGAGAATCCTACATAATAGAGCAAGCTTTAGTTCAGATAAGAAAGCAATCTAAACAACAGCACAGGACAAAACTTAAACATACTAACATGGAAAGAAAATACATATGCTGCACATTCTAAGAAGATTTCTGTCTTCTAATTAATTTTTGACTTATGACTTACATCTGTGCAAGAAAGCTCAGAATCAGGTCTCATATGTTTAACCTCAGCAGATTTTCAGATTGTCCTTTAGCGATGATTAAAGGCCAGTTTTAGATTATAGTCAATACTGGGTAGTAAAAGGCCAACAGTGGCATTTGACATTTTGTGAGTCGTGCTCCTCAGTCACTTATTTAAAGGTATTGGTTATTAAATGCCACAGGTGATCTATATCTTGCTCTCCTGTACTATCCAGCCACCAACCATGCTGTAGGCTCAGCGTGGCATGCTAAAACATTTTAACCGTCCTTGCTGCACACACTGCTACCCTTCCTTAGCAGTGACCCAGCAGCTAACACCACATACCCTTGACTGAGCTAGCCCAGGCTTTTCCACAACCCTGCAGGTAGACAAATGACAAACCGTGATAGATGTACCTACTGCTGCTATGAAAACAGATCTGCTGTAGCCAAGAGTCACTGTACTCAGGAGCAACAAAGCAACCAACTCAGTCTCAAATCTTCATCACAATAATCAGGGCTGAGCCAAAACCCCAGTGAGGACAACACCTCACTTCTTCAAACTTAAGTACTTACTTTGAAGCCTGACACATTTTAAACACAGCAGATGCTAAAAAGAAGTTCTTCAGGTGTTTCATTTCATAGAGAACTTGTGGCTATTAGATCGGCATTGCTGAATAGGGAGCCTTGAGGCTTCTGTACACAAATTTTGCACTGCTCTCAGCAAGGTGGGTCTTTGTCACCCCAAGAACAGGTCACTGGCCAAACAGCAATCTGATAGCTTTAAAAAGTAACTGCACTTCATTCCTAACATCCCTTGTATCCAAGACAGGTCTCCAACAAGTGAACTCTGGGAAAACAAGCAATCACAGAATCACAGAATGGCCAGGGTTGGAAGGGACCTCAAGGATCATGAATCTCCAACCCCCCTGCCACACGCAGGGCCACCAACCATTCCACCTAATGCTAGACCAGACTGCCCAGGGCCCCATCCAATCTGGCCTTGAACACCTCCAGGGACGGGGCATCCACAGCCTCCCTGGGCAGCCTGTTCCAGTACCTCACCACTCTCTCCGTAAAGAATTTCCCCCTGACGTCCAACCTAGATCTCCCTTCCCTCAGCTTAAAACCATTTCCCCTTGTCCTGCTGTCACTCACCCTTTCAAAGAGTTGATTCCCCTCCTGTTTGTAGGCTCCCTTTAGGTACTGAAAGGCTGCAATGAGGTCACCCCGCAGCCTTCTTTTCTCCAGGCTGAACAAGCCCAGCTCTTTCAGCCTGTCCTCATAGGGGAGGTGCTCCAGTCCCCTGATCATCTTCGTGGCTCTCCTCTGGACCCTCTCCAACAGCTCAGAAAAGACATTCCCCAGATGCTCAACTCCACCTCTCTAACAGGTCTCTCTAGCCACCACAAAAATAGAAATACTAAAACTACACCTCTACTCCAGATCTTCAGTTCTAATTCACTTTTTTTCAGCACACCAAGTCCATTTTCCTGTCCAGAAATACAGAAGAGAAAGCACAGAATCACATCTTACTCTTTCAGATGTACTGTTAGGCTCTTCCTCTCTGAATTAAAATGTGCGAGGAGCTCCAGTTATGACATTTGTAAGTAGAATACAACCGTATCATCTACTCTAGGGAAATAAAGACTACTTAATTTCAAGCTCATGATCTCTGGTCCAAAGGTAGATAAGCTGCATACCAAAACAGAAATTCAGAGCCAAAATTGGGTGACAGTTCTTCATCAATTCTATATTTGGCTTTAGCTACTTCAGTTTCATTTTTTTGTATTTAAAATAACAGAGAACTAAGAGGGCAAAGAAAAAAGTGACCAAGTCACTTGGTCATCATCACAACGATCAGATGGAAGAATCACTGTCATCAGTAGTTGACTAGTTTAATTCTTTAAAGAAAGAAAACATGCTCTTGTTCTTCATACGCCTTCACACGCAACATAAGCCTAAGACCTCAATAATGTGCCTAAAAATACAAAGATTTATCATACAGTAAGAAAAGAATGTAGGAAGTTTTCATATGCAAAAACCTGCATTAGCCTCACAGATCTGTATGTTTTCCCCTCAGCGATGTTTGAAGAAGATGCATTTAACACAATGATGAGCAACAGCTAACTTTGTCTACTTGCTCAGCTAATAAATGAAATTTAAATTGTATTTCAACATATAAAATTTGTACTTCAAGTGAAGAGGTGGCCTTAGGAAATAAAAAAAAAGGCAAGTGGGTTTTCTTTTCGAAGGGAATATAGATCGTATGCGTCTACTCAGATTAAGTGCACAATATGTACAAGTTAAACAATGATTTCTGTTACAGCATATCCCATACGCATAACAGGAAACATCCCTGTATGTCACACAGCAGAATTATTCAGGTGACTGCAAACACCAGGGGCTAGTCTCTCACCTGATGTAAACGGCACAGAGCTTTGATGTTAAAGGACCCATGCAAATTTACACCAGCTGTGCTTGTGGCCCTAGCTGTGCAAACCACATATGCGTATAGTTTTATGGACTGAGCCTGATTAATGTTTTGTAAAGGCCTGCATGCATGAGACTTCTTTAAATAGCTCTAAGAGCCGTTCTGCTAAAAGTCAGGGGTACAAATCTTTTGCTGTCACTATACCCATTTTTACCAGCTTTGAACAAATAAAAATATGTTCTACCAACGTTCAGTAGCAACACACAGTATTACATTCCTCAGCAGATAACAATTTAAACCCTTTACAAAAACGTACCATTCGAGTCAAAATTATTTCAGTACTACAGATGTTCTAACACAACGCTGAGTATACTTATTTTAGTAGTAGTACAGATTAGCTCCTTCAAAATGTTTGAATACAGAAACGCTGTAATTGATACTTAAGAAAAACTGACTCAGTTTTTCTCAGATTTCTGTTTTGCTTTCTATTGCTGTTTTTGAAGAGGTTGTCAGTGCTTTTGTTAAGAAGAGCTCAAAGTTTTGTTTCGGGTAGCAGTAGAACTCTCCAGAGCAACCAAACAACGTCACTTCAAACTCCTAATACATGCCTTGACTATGCTTTCTTTAAATAAAAAAAAGTAACTAACCAGCTTTGGAAAAGTCACCACCATGAGAAGACCCACCTATTGTGTCATGTTGCTGTCATTAACATAGAATAGCAAAGTTGCACTCCTCATGATACTGCCTACTTTCACATCAGAAGAAAGTACCATCTCCACAGCCGCCCCAAATAGATGTTTTAAAATGAATGTGCTTGCTAAGACACCAGACCATGAAGCACTGTCAGGTTCATCAAACTTCTACAGAAGTGCACTGTTTCCCTTGTACGTTTTATAGCACAGAACGACTTGAAGTACGTTACAATTATTTCCACTATTTTCTTCAGAATGTACCTTAAAGCAGACATTCACAATCATCTCACACCTGCCATTCAGTAAAAAAAAAAAAAAAAACAAACCTTACAGATACCTTAATATCTGACAAGCAATTAAAAACATCTTACATGCATTTTTCCTCCCATTCCCCCCCACCCTCCACACCTGTCCCAGCAAACTGGGTTGTCCACCACACAATGATTTGGTAGCCTTGCCACGATGAAACCAATCCTACCAACTGCTCCTTACCTCTACCAGCAAAGGGATCTTAAAAAGTCAAAAATGAAAACTTCATGGCAATAAAAGTATCAGATCTGAGTTAATCCCAATGGCTGTAAACAATTAATAAATCATAAAAAGCACATTATCAACTTATGCAGCACCATGCTTTGTGAGCTGTTGAATGCAGCACCAGACTGCACCTCTCAGAACCCAGCTGCAGCATTTCTGATGCACATCTCACCTCATTATGTATTTCTTCCACTTGCTTTACAACTGCAGTTTCCACTGATTTCAGAGATAAAGCCATTGAATTAGGATCAGTTTGTAAATTCTGGAGTGCCAGTTCACATTGTCCAAATATGTATTCCAGTGTTCCTCTTGAACACTAAACATAGAATAAGAACAGATATTGAGCCATGTCAGAACACAGATGTTACTGAAGTAATACTGAACCATTTAGTTCTGAAATAAAGTGAAGGAGCAGAAGGGTTGCATTTCTGTAACTGTATTTTAAGATCTTTTAAACAAAAGCTTAATGCCCACTTTTTTTATATAGTTGTTAGAATAAACTATGCAAAAGTCTGCTCAACCAAACATAACCAATCAGTAACCACAGACTGAATGGAGAAAGAATAGGACTAATTTTCCATTTACTTTATAATTACAGCAGATAAAAATATGGTCACATTTTCCATCAGTTGCATGTGTGTAGTTGTACAGGCTCCCAGTAAGACTTAAACAGAATTTGATATTCAGTTTGAGAGTGTTGTTTGTTTAGAAGATGTAGTTAATATGAACAGAACAGATTTACAATTATGCTGCTTTTGTTTTTACTTCTTTCAAAAAACTAGGATATTTAAAATTCCTTTCGAAAAAAAATTCCACACTATACAGAGGTTGAGACCATAATAGTTTACAAAAACAGAGCACAATCACTTAATAAAGAAGTTTTTAAATTGAAAATACGCATTTTCTTGCAAAATAACAGAGACAGGAGCAGAAGCTCAAAATACTCTTCAGGTAATATTCACAACTATTTTATTTTTTATTTTTTTTTAACTGCACAGTGCACTACTGCTTTATATCAAAGTCCATTTCAAGTAAGCAGAGTATAGCTTGGGAAATGAAGGCTTTCTTTTATTATACTTTTATTGTATTTGTCCATGTCTGATGATGCTGATTTTCTGTTATTATACAATAGTGTTACCTTTTGGCTTACTCAAAAAATAAAGTGGTAATTTTTTAATACACTTTAATAGACTGCGTTGTAAAAAGATATCAAAATTGTTTTATTTCTGCATGCATTCCCATTTAAATACTCCATAAAGAAAACTTTTGCTAGAACTATGACAGGAGAAGGAATGGGGAGGTCTAGTAATCAAAGGCATCTTTACACTTGAGCATAATGCCAAAGTCTTGCTACACAGAATGCCTGGCTGAAGTGGCTCACTATCATTTCTCTGCTTCTTCCATCCTAGAACATGCAAAAATGCAGACAGATCCAACTTAAAGCATACTTATGATTCATCTTAGTTCTTCTGCTCTTCTAAAGACTATTTTAGACTGTGGATATCGGTGGTGTGTACTGAGCATTTCTACCTCATCATAAATAACACCTTTCAGCTAGGAGTGGGACACAAACACATAAAAAAACTCAGGAAAAAATAGTTTTCTACATTTTTTTAAGCAATCCATGAGATGTGGCATAGCACATTTCTATTCGCATCTTACATGAATAACTGTAAACTTAGGTAAATTACTAACACAGAAACAACCATACCTCGATCCATCTATAAACAATTAGTGGTGGTTCAAGGAAACATTCTGATTAAATGTAATCCAATGCAGTTCTAGATAAGGCAGATGCAACATGATGCTACATTTACAGTACTGGAGTATTAGTTTGATGAACGACCAAGTAGAAAAACCATACTTTATACTCACATCTGCCACTCTGTGAGTGGAGCTGAACCGAGGCGAAAAGCCAGCCAGAACACAGTGCTGGTGTGTCATGTTGAGATCATCTGGGGAAAGATTAGGAAACCTTGAGTACAGGAAAAAAATATATATATTCAGAGAAACTAATTGATACACAGCCAGAATAAAAAACACTACACTAAGCATAGAAATGAAGAATTCAGTTAGTAGTATCTTCATAGAGCTCTGGTGCTTAGCAGAGCATAGCTATTCACTGTTCTAGCATTACAAACAACCCTGCTATTGCTTTCTCTCAGTTTCTCTAGAGTAGAAGTAGTGTTTTTCCCACCTCTTATAGACATGAAAAATGAAAGACTACTTGGAAACTGCAACCCTCTTTTCTCAAATCATTGAACAATAAAACATTTCTTGTGGAAAAAAAAAAAAGGGAAAAATAGGAAAGAAAAAGAAGGGAAAAAGAAGGATGGACAAAAGGATGGAAGATAAAACATGTCTTTTGTCTTGTGTTGTGTTTTTTTCTTTCTGAAATTCACAGCTCAGAATCAAAAAATTGGGAACACCAGAAAGTGCAACCTGCTGTAAGCCATCTCCCTGACATTTTATTGAGGCTTTCTTGTAGCTGGCCTGCCACAGACTGCAGTGAGCAAGTTGGCCAGAAAGCAGCCCCTTCACCCTGCTCTGAAAACCACTGCAGACAGAATCTACTTGGTTTGACTTTCATTGAAATTATTCTAGCTACAGAAAGCTCAAATTCTGAGAAATTAACACATTTTAGTGGAAATACATCGCCCTGAAGAAATTCAGTCTACATCTAGAAGCAGCATTCAGTGTTATATTGAGCATCATTCACAAAGTGCTTTAAATTCAGTTTCAGTGTTAAAATTATGTGGCCCTCTAAACTCAACAAGACAGGAGAATATATGAACAAGTGCTGTAAATTAAGTCCTGAGTTACACTTACATAAATTAGTACAGATTAATAAATCCATGAACAAGTTAACTTGGAGTCAGTACCGCCCTGCATCCCTCCTGCTCTGAAAACTGCATGCAGGCAAGTTATTTATCATCAATTCTCCCACATTTGTGGTTAGATAAGAGCTAATATGGCATCTCTTCTGCCTTCAGACATCAAGTCCTTATCTCACTACAAATTCCAGTGGATTCTAGCATGGAGATCTCATTTCAGTGTTTATCAAAAAACTCTTAAAACATATATGAATTCTATTATGTGAGTGCCAACTTTAAATCAGTTTCTGTTCTTACTAACAATATTCTAAAAGTTTTGGTTGTGTTGAAGTAACAAAACTCAGTAACAGATACCCAATGATCAAGTGCCAGAAAAATAAATTCAGTTTTCTATCTGAAATGGAGTGCCCAGGAATCAAAGAAACCACCACTATTTACTGCAGAAGTACATAAGGCAAAAATCTGTATTTCTAGTAAATTGATTTTTTTGTTCTTTTACTTCCAGCAGCTTCTGCCCCACACTTCCCAATGAATTATCTGCTACCTTATGGTCAGATCCCATTATAGGACTACTGAGACAAATCTGGGCAAGATTTATTAAAAGAAATGAATCACAAGTATGACTGTATACAGGTGGTCAAAGCCACTTTGTAAAACAGTTATCAACCTGAAGCCTGTTTAAGTAATTTGGAGGTCCAGTGCAAAAGGATTTTGACTTTTCAGATGTAATACCAAGAAGTCATGAGACTGTTTAGTAGATTATCTGATTACTTGCAAACGCATACAACTCTTTCACAGAATCACCAACTGCAGAAACTTCAGATAATATAACTCATATAAAGCACAGACACACAAAGGATTTTTTATTTATTATAGAACCTTATTCCTCATATCTGCAGACAAAAAGGTTTAAGGTACATGGTGCTTTAATACACTGATCCATGCAAGAAGTGTAGTTGTAACTGGCACGGAAAAAAAACACTAAGGAAAAGAGACTTCCTAGAATTTGCATGGAAAAGTGCAGAAGGAGTTTAGACTTTTTCAAATAAAGCAGCACCAGCATGGTCTAATATTATCCCTGTTCCTGTACAGCCTCTTTCAAAAGAGCAAACTAAAAAGAATATGTATGATGTATGCATGCACATATATGCATGAATATTTAAATTCTGCTACCTAATTGGCAGAGCATCAGTAGAATGATGAGTCAAATCACTCAAAAAAATGACGACTGCATACTGTACAGCACTGTCTAAAGTAACAAATGCAAAATAAAAAGAAATAAATTTGAAGCTGATCCTTACTAAAGGAGCATGGAACAAAGGCTAAAAACTCAGCTACCTCTAGCTGAAGAACTTCTCAGGAAGGCACAAACCACAGTTCATAAAATGCTCTGAAGAACAACAGCAGTTTACACTGTCTTTATCAACTTCTTAAAAAGTTCAGGAAGAATACTTGTATTTGGACACTCATCTTAATTTCACAAAGCAGGTAAAATGAGCTTAAAGCACAGGCCAACGCCTGGATATTCCACTCACCTCAAATACCTACAAATACAGGTGAAATTAACTCATGCTATTCATTTCTGTAACTACATTACATAAGTGAATTTTTTGTTGTTTTTTTGTTCATTTTACTATGTTATAGCGCAACTTACAAGATCATTTTCCCATTATTTACACTTCTTATCAATTCAATTTCTATGCAGCTACACACATAACAGCACTCAGGTTGGCTGATGACTCGCAAATCCAGACTAAAAAACAAAGATAGCAGTAACTGCCAGGAAGAATTTAAACATGTGCCATTTTATCAAACTCTTCTGACTGTAGGAACACTAATAAAATGGTTTTAATACACTTATGACTACTTATGCTCACAAATCAGGTGGTACTCTTGGACATAAGGGGCTGGTTACAGTGACTGACAAGAGGTGATAGAAACCAACTCTTCTTTCACCCATCTCCTAGTAATGCTTCAACAACAGAAAACCAAGTCAACCTAATTTCACTGTATGTCAGCAGAAAGTACCAGGAAGGCTATGTCTCCTTCCCCCCAAAATTACAGGTCAATGGAGCGTGTCTTGCAGCACTTGTCTTTCATATCAGAAAGCCAGAAGGATGATCTGGCCCTAATTAAGAAATATGTTTAGTTTTTAAACGAGAAAGTGTGCACAAACAAAATGCCAAGTGAATTGAGAGGCTGAACTAAATAAAGATGTCTCCAATTTGCCAAACTTCATGATCAAAGTTCAGTAACAACAAGTTTCTGGGGTTCGAAGTCTTAATAATCAAGGAATATAGCATTTGGATTAAATGTGGAGTCGAGAAAAAAACATGGGGTTAAAAAACTCCAACACATTCAAGATGCTAGGGAGCAAAAAGGGTTCAAGTTAGTTTGTGGAAATAGAAGCAGATTCAATACCTAGAAATAGTTTAATGAGCTATTATATACACGTGGAAGTGTTTCCATTTAATACTTATCTCTAACCACAAGCCAACCTCTGCAATGTGTGCACCCAACTTCTAGATGGTAATGAAAATTATTTTTTGATGCTCCTTCGACTATAATCTGCTAGTGGGTGGGGAGGGATATAAGACTCCAAATTCATCTTCATGCTGTTTTAAAACCCTAACCTTCAAGCAAGAGTTTGATCTATGGGAAACAGCTGCAGAAAAGTAAATCTTCTCCCTTTGAAAAAGTCCAGAGTGTATTTTTGTTAAGTATGTTTTGAAGTCATGGTAGGAAAATTAGTGAAAATTGTAAATCTGCTTGCCAATCTGGTTGTGTCTAAGTCAAAGATTAGGGGAAAGATTCCAATTTAATACTAAGACCATGACAACCCTACTTAAGCATGCTCTAGGGCAGAGCAGATGGGGCCCTTTGCTCACCTCCACACGTTTTGGATTTATTGCATGCACCCAACACGTTTCATATTAGACACCCCTTGACTGTGTACTTGAGACAGCAGGGTTCAGTATGCACTTCCTCTGCAGACCAATATATTATTCTAAATTGGGCTAAAGTGTTTCCGTTTTGTGAGTGATATAAAGTTCAGATTGGAGGTTTTTTAGGCAGTAGACTTGCAGACCTTCAGCAAATCTTTTGTCTTTGTATCAAGAAAGGCTAACCTCAAAAAAAGCCTGTGTTACTGAATAATTATGGATTTTGTTTCACTGTGTTTCAGTAAAATACATTAATACTATTGTAATATCTTCAAATGCATGGATTTGATCACCTCATGCTTAGCACCAACATGTACTATTGCTTATTATTTCAACTAAAGAGGAATGCTGAGAATGAAGGTGTAAACTTTAAGACTGCATTTTATTTAAATGCCTTCCAGAATAGAGGAGGTATTGAAGAGGGGAACAAACTAAAGTTTTAAACACTTACCAGAAATGCTAAAACAAATTTAAATATCCTTTGTAGTACTATGAAATACCCACAGATTAGGATTCATTAATTTCATTATTTGCACTCTTCTCAAAGAAACATTAAATTACCATGTTTCCATACACTAGATTAACACAAAATTAGGAAACAGTTGAGATATTATGGGTACAGGAATTATTAGAACCTCACTTCAAATACAAGCAGCATACCAAATTTGATACGTCAGTATTTTACAATTCTTACATCAAGAAGCATGCACTACACCATTTCAGAAATTGAAATAACAGACCTGTAGTGCCTTCAAGTTAGTCACTGCAGTTGGATGAATCAAAGCTCACAAGAAAGAGCACAGTCTTACTGGTTGGTCCCTTCTACATCAACAGATGCTACCAGCTGATACCCTGAGGTGCAACACTCGTTTTCTACATACTTTGCATGCTGCTTCCACTGCTTTTAATAAAATGCCAGCAAGATGATTACACTTACTGAAATGATGTTCTGGAAGGCACGATGTTTAAAGGAACTAGATAAATTAAGCTAAACTTCTGTTCTCTAGTGTGAAGCTACCTCTTAGAAAAAAAATCATATTTTATCTGTTAGTCATATCCTCAAGATGTCTTCCCTGAAAATTTAGTTAACAAAACCAGCATGGTATAAAAAACTAAAACTGTATACATCCACCAATATTGTCTGTCTCTCACTTCAAGCAACAGAACATGATAAAGGCAGTTACAATGTACACTGAAACTAAATAAAAGTTTTAGAATGCTGGCGGACTGCTGCCAATAAGAAATGCTCAAACACATCTACTTATATGTATTATTTAAGTAACTGAGAAAAAATGCAAAGGCAGAAGAGATTATTTAACACCTGGCCTACAGAGCTAACTGCAGTTCTCTGTGAAGCATTAATAAGAAAGAGATTTACACATTATCTTCTGAAGAATGTTTAACATCATGTTTGTTTCCATCTAAACACGATAATCATGTTTTCTGTTACATAAACTAATTTTCTGAGCCAACCTTCATGCAGCATTCCCAAGACTGTAGTTACAGTACATACATTCTGTCGAGAATGAGAAATATCCTTATAATCTGGTAACTCACTCAACTATAATTCACAATACAGTGCTATAAAAATAGTGGTCAGACCCCTTGCTTTATTACTTTCCTTCTGAATCTGCTGCCCAGCAAAGCTGATTAAGCACAAACTTTCCAGTCAGTTAAGATGAGATGAAAGGTTTACTTGATGCCTGAACCAGAACTGAACAAACATATTAATAACTACCTTTCTAGAAATGTTTAGCTGCCATCTAAACTTCACTTTCATATAAGAAATGTCTGTCTTCTTCAATGCTACTGCCCTGTATCTTTCCAAATACAAAAGGGGAGACACACCTGCACATTTACACCACTGCACCAAAGAAGCTCTCATCTTAACACTTTTCCTGTTTGTGTATGAATGCACTTATGAACACAGGCATCCCAGTTTTTACACAGATTCTTCATTGATGATGATGCACATGATTTGATGAGGAAACTATAAAAAACAGTACTGTTTAAGATGACAACAAAGATATTGCACATATTAAACTTTTTTCATAGTTGTTGAGAGGCTACAAGGTAAAATGAAGAAAACTATTCAGCCTAACAAGTTGCTATGTGATACACCATCCTAAGGGAGTTCTGTACTATCTACCTCCCAAGACACAAACAGGGAACAGAAAGCTTTCTCCTTCTTCTAAGGTGCCTGTTTAGTGGGTTGCTTTTGCAGGCAAACACAACCATGTCAGAGTTTGTTCATATATTTTTGATTGTGTGATTTACAATTCCATTTGTTCAAATAAAAACACACAAAAAAAAACACAAGCCAAAAGAGAAAATAACAGTTTTATGCCAACAAGTCTTAACCAAAGTCCTCGTCTTATCTGGAAAACCTCGGTGTTTGAGCTCAGCTTCAAGTAAATGAGCTCAGTTTAATTGTATTTTTTTTCCCAATCCTCTGAACATGAGACATCGAGTATCACTCTTAAAGTATGTCAGCTTTGTTCATTATGATCTTAGTTTAATCCCACTACTGGGAAATGGATATGTTCAAATATACACATAGAAAAGTGCAGCTGAACGAAGGGAATGTCATGTCTTCATGTCTAAAACAGGTGACCAATAAAACATCCACAGACGAGTACAATGGATACCTCAGGAATCATGGAACCAAACTGTAACTGCTGCAGTCATTGTTTGTGTAGTATGTAGCCAAATCATAACCCAAACCTCATGAACAGGATTTTTTTTTTTGTTAAACAAGGCAGACAAATTCTTAAGAGTTACTTAGTAAAACTGCAACAAAAACTGGCGTCTACAAATATAAGAATTGAACAGCAACAGCTCAAGATCTCACAAAATCTGAGAAAATCCTACTTATGTTTTACAGTCTGACTTGAACTATCAACTCCAATTATACAACAGACAGGGAAAAAGTACTCAATTTTTTGCTTTTGCTTTTCACTGAAGCAAAAGAAACGCTATAAGAGAAAGTTCCTCAAAATTGACTGGAATTGGTTAGAATAGGACTAATACATATATTCAAGGCAGATCTTCTGTTCTGCTAAATTAGGAGACTACTAACTGAAAGAAAGAAGTGAAAGTTTATCAGCTTCTGTGTTTCCAACAGAACATTCAACTTCCCAGCCCTTGAAAATTACCAAGCATCAAGTAGAAGTCGCCTTGGCGAAGTGGTATTGCTAATCCAGGTGTCTCTATGTCCCATGCTACCTTCAAGCCCACGTGCCAAACAGCTGGGTCTCTTCCCTTCAGGTTCCAATCACTAGTTTCTTCAGCTGATGAATCTTTAAAGAGAGATGAAGAAGAAAAAATGAACATAAAGATAATAAGACAAGATGACAACCATAAAATACAATATCTTGTCTAACAATACACACTTAATGATAATCCACATTGATACAGACTGAATAGGCTTAAATTTTCTACAGTCTCCAACTGGTATAAGCAACTTCTCCAAGGTTAAAAAAACAAAACTCAATTGGTACAAAAATATCATAAGGTATTAAGACTTTTTTGCAAGTAATTTTACTAAGATGAAAATTTCATGTTAATTACAAAGTAAAGGAAACCAAAGTCCCTAATAGATTCAAGTTTTTCTGATATTGTCAATACACATAATGAGAGATTTACAAATACCAACTTTTCGCATTAATTACAAGAACTACAAGCAAAGAAAAAGAAGAAAGAGGTGGATCACTGATTAAAAACAGCTAACTTCTAAAAATTATTTCAAGTCAAATTGCAGGTTTGTTTATAAATTTGTAATTTCACTAAATCATACAAAGTGAAGTAACATGCACATATAATGCTGTAATGCAATGGGAAGTGTAGCAATCACAGCATAGCAGCAAAGTCTAAGGCTGCAGCAAGTGAAGATCTGCTCAAATGCAACAGTTCTGGGACACAGAAACAAAGGAAAGAAGCTGATTACCTTTGGAAGGCCTCAAGCAGGCAGGAAACTCCAGCAAGATCTGTTGTCTCCACTGCCAACCCTTAAATAAGGTTGGGGAAGAGGTGGATCCTGGCTCCCCCCCTTCCAATCAGGTCCATTACATGCACCTGAGCTCCCCTGGGTTGGCCCTGCCTTCCCACCAGGTGCTCAATCACTGCTTCAGGCCTTACTTAGCACTTCCACTACATGCACAAAACACTGCATCTAGACCAACGAGGTTCAGGAAATAATCTAGGAATCTTATCTGTCATTCTTTTCTCAAATTTATTAGTCAAACATGACAGATAATGTGGAAGAGCCACGAAACTTCAATGCATTAGTCACAACACTTTTCTTATCATTAAGTAACACAAACATGTGGAGCTTGGGGAAAAAATAATCCACTGCATAAAAATAGTATTTAGACCTTAATCCCTCAGAACTATTTTCAGAAGCTTATTTCACCACAGTATAAATTGAAAGATACAGCCAGCATTTATAACAAGGTATTTGGGAGCCATGGTGTAACACTTTTATGGCTAATGTAACAGAGCATTTTGACAGAGGGAGGATGAAGTTTTAATAAGCAGCTGGCACAGAATGGCAGTCAACTGTTAGAAGTCATCAACAATGCAGAATGCATAATTACTGCTTGTTAGTTAGCAACATTTCATTTGTCTCTTTCACTGCCCATTGCAAATGCACTCCTGTGTAAGATTTTCTACAACTTAAGTATTCATTTAATTCTAGAAAAACACCAAAACACAGATTCATAATCTTACTATAGCAAATGCAGATAAGTGACCTTGAACTCTCACCTCCAAAACATTCAAGTCATTCATCTCACATGGTTACTGCAATGTTTGTTGAGCTGGAGATAACCTTTAATAATTAATAAATTGTCTTCCTGTGTCAATTAAGTATTGCTTAGAGGCAGGAAGCAGAGAGCCAAAACATCTCAAAAAGCTGATCTTCGGACCTCAGCTGAAACTCCTACTGTAAACCCATTCCCCATATCTCCTCTTGACTGCTGCTGCTCTCCTCTGGCTGCAGCTCAGGAGCAGCTCTAGGCCTTTCTATCAGGGAACACACAAATGAGAAAACAAGAGTGAGCAAATACCCACAAAAATCAATACTGAAGTCTTCGAGGGGCTTTCATATTTTCTGACCCATTTGGATAAATCGTAACAATTTAAAAAAAAAATGTTTTCTGAAAACTGCAAATAAGATGGCTTTCAAGGCATTTTTAATGCAATACATCATGGATATTATAAAAAGAGGTAACCTTTCTGGGTTAACTCTCTGTTATGCTGCTTTCCCATTCACTTTGGCAGCGGCACTGTTCACAATATGGCACCAATAAAATATAGAACTACAATCAGAGACAGCAATTTCAATGAAAGTTTCCTGGGGTCTCCTCATAAATCCAGCACCTTTGGAATGTGCTCGTTAAAATGACTTATTTTTTGCAGTTTGATAAATTTTTTATTGCTTAAGTACAGAGTTCAAATGTAGCTCACAGGCTCCTTTTCTCTGTATTCTCAATTATTGCACCTTATAATTATCAGCAGCAATTGAAACTGATTGCTCCTACCATGTTATTTTGGTAACAAATGGAAGCAAGCTGCTACTAGCTTTCAAATGCAAACTATTCAAGAAGTGAAAAAAAAACCCCACCATCTTAACACTTGTAGTATATCTCCAGGTAGCACTGACAAACTTTTACATAACATGAAATTTTTATAAAATTCTGTGTCATCCCTCAGGCATGACTGAATGCTGCATACAAGTTAACAGTTCATATATAAGTGAAAACATTTGAATGCATCTAAACCTTAGGTACATGAGAATAAATCATGTGGACCTTACATCTACATAGCACATTAGGAACATCCATTTATTCTGGAGTAAACTGTACAGAAATGGTCCAACACAGCAGCAATTAATGGAAATAAGATAAAACTATCTGCAGATTTGAACTGTGTTAATGCTTATAGAATTTGGCCTGCAAGAAACCTTTATACTTGCACCCCAAAATGGTGCAACTGGGTAACAAGCTTGCCACAGCATAATAGCTCGAACCTGTCACTAAGGATAGAACCACGAAAGAGAATGTAGCTGGATAAGATTGGCCATAACACTAGGCTTTAGGTAGGCAGCTCCAATTTTGGAGATGCTCCAGCTCTAAGACCTGATCTTGTCAGTTTGGGGTCCTGGTTAGGTCCAGAACAAAAAGAAATTTGTGTTTTCCTGGATTTTGTTTGGTTATGGTTTGTCAGCAAAAGAAAGTAAAAGTAGCCCTGAAATGTTTCTTTGCTATTTGGTACCAAAATCTTCAAGAGGTCTTTGGCAGTCTGAAACCTAAATGTTCTCTCTCAGACCATATTCTAAATATAACTTTAAATCAAACATTATTTCTGAGAGGATGGAATCACTGCCAACATTACTAAAAACAAGGAGTGTAAACATCCAGTATAGTCATTAAATCCAACTGACCATTATTAAATAAGTATAGAAAAAATAATCATCCTTTACAGATTTTTTTTCCTGAATTTAGAAGTATTTGGGCACGTTTTCAAGGTTTAATGAAATACACATCAGAATTATTACAGTCTTCCACAGCAGTTTTCACATGCATGTACAAGTTAAGTAAAAAAAGCAGACCATACTCTGTTTCTCAGTGGCTGGCAGGAAAGAATGAGTTTCTACCCAGAGATATTTCATCTGCCTTACTACTGAAATGCCACAACATAAGAAGTTAGTTAGGCACTAGTAATCTATATATCTATATCCATAACACTAGCTTTCTCTTGCAACTGACATTCACAAGAAACAAGAGTTGGAATATTTGTTGACATTGCTCTTATCGGTTTTCATCTAGAATGTTTTGTCTAAATATATCAAGGTAATATTTATTTATCTATGCACCATTTCTATTCTTTCAACAAGCAATATGTCTGCTATACTACCGACATTAGAAGCCATTTAATATCGTTGTTCTCTACTCTATGACTTTTATTCATTAAGCAAAGCATAACTAAGATTGTTTGTCAACTACAAATATAGATTTATTCTGATTCAAAACAACTTCCACAAGTTCAGAATATCTTATTTTTCAAACCTAGTGAGGGAGCGACATCAGTAGTAAATATGATTACTTCTACTATTTTTATTCCCAACTCCTGCAGCAATGAAATAGTCATTGGGTTCAGTGACAGGAACAAGCATGAGAGCTCCTTCTGCATCTCACTCATCAATAGAACTAACTTCAGCTCTGCTATGCTTTTCAGCATTGCCTTGCCAGCTAACAGAGCTGTTTTATTTTATTTTACTTCTTATAGAAAGAAACCAAACGAGATACAACAACGTATCCAGAGAAAATTACATCTCTAACCTCAAACTTAGTTCATGGGAAATTTGGGTGAGAAAATGATGGACATTTGCAGTTACTTGGTTACTCTCTATTAAGTTGGTATCTGAAACATCTCTACTTCAAAGGACATTTTTAGCACCAGCTAATGCTCTTCTGAGCAGTAAAACTCTGCAAAATCTATGTGGACTGGAGCAAGAGATATTCATTAGAATACGTCCATGGATAAAATTCAGTTCTTGAAAATACTCTTTCTCTCCCAGTATTTGGATTGCAATTCACTTTTATAAATAGAGCAGGAAACTGAATTGGTTATTAGCTTACTATCTTAAAATTCTGAATATATTTTTAACCTCAACACTCCCATGTGATGTATGTAAATTAATGTATTACTATAAATAATAGATGGATCAAAATTTGGAACTACTATTTAGATGAGCATTCAGCAAAACATTTATCTTATTTTGCTGCTCCAAAATGTACTTCATGCAAAGTTGCTATGATAGTTTGACACCTGAAACAATAAAAGAAACTGTGATGCTAATTACAATATCAGCTTGTTCCATCATCTTTGTGTTGGCTATCAGATTCCTTCACTAGCACATTAAAAAGAGTTTCTACTTTAAATAACTCTGAACAAAGTTTCCAAAATTACGCTTTCACTGTGGCATCAAAAAGTGAACAAATAAACAAGCAAGTGAAGTTATTTCATCTATAGCATTACATGCTTTAATAGCACTTCATGAAATAACCACATAACAAATGATGCCAAAATGCAAAGGGAAGTAAAAAAAAAAAAAAAAAAAACACACACACAAACTGATTTGTGAGTCTCTGAACAGTCAAAGAGCTACCTGGATGCCACAAGATCACTCCTGCTGTTTAAACTCTGAACAGGTTGGGGATTCTGCCTCCATGCAGAGGAAATCTGTACCAGCTGTAAAGCTCTAAAAGGTCCACCTTCCTCATACAAGGGGATTCTACAGATCCTCATTGTCTCAAGTGCCACAGTGGTTTATTAAAAGACAGTTTATTTATGAAAAAAAAAAAAAGAAAGTAGACTAATTACATTATTTGGATGCAATAGGTAGAATCTGACATTGACTGGTCAGGGAATCCTTTTTATTTAATGAGTCTGCTAGGTGGACTGATGTTTTATGTCTAGGAAAACACAGACACAGTGATCTCAACTGAATGTTAAGTAAAAAAAGCAACCCATCATTTCAAGACTAAAAAAGCAATTAGCAACAGATTGCACATGAAAAATATAAGCTATTATTTTTATATAATGGTCTTTAGCCAAAGCCTCTAAAAATCAGTGTGAATTCTCCTCGTGTTTTTAAGGAAACAAAGGATTTTTGTAAGAACTGGAAGTCAATTGAAAATGGTACCCAAAGTAACATTTACAAATTCAAATCAAGTATCCGAATTCTAGTGTTATGTTTGCAAAGCTGAGAAGCACTCACCTTCACAGCTGTAGCTGTACACAGCAACCGTTGACCTCTCAACCAGATTCTCATCATGATGCCAACTCACTGCCATATTCCCCATTCCAAAATAAGGCTCTTGTTTCAAGTATGGCATTTGTAGTGGATCCATATAATTTAATAAAGTCAAGTTATAAGATGTTCTGTTATTTAGACTTGTGTAATCATCCTCTGGTACGTAACAACTGCTTTGATCTTTTGAAAAAGACCCTTTCTCTGTAAGCGAAGTAGCAAAATTTTGCTCCCTATCTATTACACTAGTGTCTTTGATATCTTTGGTGTCCAACAGATATTGTCCTTGTAAGGCCTTGACTGCTTCAATATGCAAGTAGTCATTAAGTTTGATTAATGCTTTACAAGCATCATGTATTTGAGAACTGCAATATTTTATTTCACAACCCTCAGTAGGCCAAGGAACTGTAAATAATCTTGTGTTCAAGTACTTGTAAGTGCATCCTGGGTTTCCAATTAATATACGAGACACTGGCGTAAAAAAATCTTTTCCTTTGATCCTTACAAGATCTTGAAAAAAACAACCGTGTTTCCGCAAGGTCAAAAAGCCCTCTTGTACCATGTGATGGAGCTCTTCAGGTACTGTATCCGACTTTCTGAAAATTAGCTTGGAATATCTTGTCTTCTGCTAAAGGAGAAAGCAAGAATAACAAAAAATTACTTTTTTTAAACAAGTACTTGGCATTTTCAAGAATGTGTGGGGATAAATGGACAAATTATCAAGCATGAGTCTAGAATATGGTAAAGAAATAGATGTCAGATGCCAGAATTTGTTGCTTTATCATAGGATCACAAAGGTTGGAAAAGACTTCCAAGATCATCCAGTTCAACTGTCCAGCTACCACCAATATTTCCCCACTAAACTATTTCCTAAACTATTCATGTAGTAAAAATAATAGAAATTGAAATACAAAAAAAAAACACCCAAAACATTCTGCTGCACTTTACCTCTTTCAAAGTCTTCCTTGGTAGTCCATTCTATCCTTGACAACCTGTATACTGTCACATTCATCAAGTTGCCAACTAGCTGCTCTTTTTCAATTACAAACATTTCCAAACTTATTTTACTCTCATCCCCCCACCAGCCCAACATCCTTTATTCTCACATCTCCATCTGACCACACCAGCCAGAGATCAGAATTCAGCAGGTTTTGTATGTAGCAACTCCCAGCAAAGCATGACACTGCTAACCAGCAGCATCTTTCTTTGCATGTAAAATGTCGCTTCCCACTCCAGGAAGGAATTTTGTTTCATTAATATCACTTTCTAAGGAAGCATTACATAACTGCAGCTTTTATTGGCTGCCTGTAAATCATCTTTAACTACTGTTGAGATTGTTTTGCAAAACATGCACACTAGTGAATAAGTTCTTAAGTAGACAATATTAACTGTAATTTTCATTAAATTTTATAGATAATAGAAAGAGATGCAAACTAATGCTCTTAGAAAGGGAAAAGCTGTAATGTGACTCTATTGGGTGTTAATTAATACTTTGGAAGCTCAGAACTGTTCACTAATTTCCTCTTTTCATTAAGTCACTGCTAAGGGAAAAAAGTAGATACTGATGATGCTGTGTGAAAAGAAATAAAGAAAGGTGAAAGCTGAAGGCACTGAGAACAGGGCTAGAGTATACAGATGCATAAAACTGATCTAAACATTTTTCTAATGTAATAGTTGATATTCAAATTGCTTTTAAACAAAACAAAACCACTACCACAAAAGCTTTGTATTGGCCTACAATACACCCGTGGGCTCCTAGTCAAGCTCAAAAGCACTTCACTAGTACTTCCCTCTTCTAAGTGAGATCTAAACCTGACATTCAGAAAAGAAACTTCAGAAGGTGCATTTCAAAATACAAACCAGTCATTCAGGATGCACGTTTTCTACTGCATGCAAACAGTTATACATCAGCATCATAACACATTAAGTCACAACATTTAACAGAAGACTTTATATGACCACAGATCTACTAAGAAGGTGAACACAAAAGGAAGCCTGTTTTAGCAGTAATGATTAAGTATAAACCTCTGTCCATCCATAGAACTTGATACCACAGCTTGTCAATTCTTAGAGAGAAGCTAACTCCCTTTCTTCACACATTTTTACAGTTTCTGAAAAGTAGTTTCCTAGAAAGAGGGGGAAAAGTTAATTTGATATAACAGTGTCTATAGATAATAATAATTTTTGACAAGAGTATTTACATGCTTAACTCTAAATACCAAAGCTTGAAAATACTTCCAGATATTTATTTAAAGGTCCTTCTGCAGCACAGAACACTGGATCCCAACTATCATTAAAAGAACTGAAAATAAACTGGAGAAACAATTGCCAAGAGCCTGGAACAATTCCTTTAGAGGTCATGAACCATTCAACTTGTTTCAGTCGGTGCTTTTTTGTTTGTAGCCTTTGAACAGGACAAGGAAAAAATCCTTAATGACAAAGTATTGAAGGTAGTAACTGCAGATTTCATGTATTCACAGCAACAGGCTACAGTCAGATGCGTGGGTACAGCTTGATGGGAATTACAGTCATTTCATAATCATACTCCATAACAATATTACATGTTGTGACATAAAATTACTGTATCAATTGTTTCATTAATAATTCTGCATATAGCATATACTCAGTTCAGATTAACCAACAATCACATTATATTGAATATTTTGACATACAGAAATCATTTTTACTATCTTTCCTCATATCACTAAATACACTGCACTGCCGGTATGAATCGCACATACAATTCCAAACTATTAGAGAAGCAGGGAAACCACAATTTGATGAAAAGCAATTAAATGCCTGAAATCATGTACTAGAAAGGAAGCACACCACTTATTTTTTATTTTATAACCATAGTAACAATATTGTATTCCCTCCTCCTCCATCCCCCCCAAAACTGCAGAGGTAACGGCTCCCATACCTTTGTGTTGATCAAGTCAGAAGCACGTTACCTTTGGATTATGTTTTAAGATTACATGCTGAAGAACTGCTTTATTATTAAATTTTACATGCTGCACAGAAGATTCTACCTTAAAGAAACACTACATCGCTATCTCAGAAGTCAGGAAATGGAAACACGTTTCCGACACATGACAAGAAAACAGTTTGGTCTTCTTTAAATCTCCAACGAGTCGTTGTGCTATGTCTAACATAAGGAAGGCATTAAGGGATCAGAGCGCAGGGGTGAACGCTAGGTTCATACCGGACACCTCGTTGTTTTGGGGGGATGGGGAAGGGGGAGGAATCATGTACTGCATGTTGTAACTCTGACAGCATGTATTAAAGGTCAATTCACTGCTCCTGGGAGAAAAAAAATAAAAAAAGAAGTGGTTTTGTGACTGGCAACCACAGGACAAAAAAAAAAAAAGGCACATGTGATGCTTGATTCTCCATCTGAATGTCTCACACTATTTCAAGTATACCTATGTACCTGTGTTCTGACTTCCATAAGAGTCACCTTACAGAGGAAACCAAAGTGACAACAGAGCTGGAAATCAGCAACAAGGATCCCTTAATAAATAAAATGATATCCCATGAAATAAGTTCATATTTCACATATTCATAAATTGCCTTTAAAAAAAATACGGACTTATTTGCTCACAAGCACCCTTAAATATTACATTGCTCTAGCCAATTGTTTGGGGGCCATTTCTGTAATACTTCATCAGCCATGAAACCAGTTGGAAGAGGATGCCAGTGAAGTTTTGCTACTGATGGAACTGCTTAGCTCTGTTTAGACTGTACACTTCCATACATGTCAGTAGACAGTAGCTTTTGAATTACAATTCAACTAACCCTTCCAACACATCCAAAGCATTCTGCTTTACAGAAGCAAGGCAGGTCTTTCCTGGAAAGATAGACTACAAAACTGAACTTTATCACATGTGATATTCTGTTTTGCCAATATGTTGACTTCAAGCTGTTACCCTTCTTACCCACTCTTTAACACCACAGAAGTTATAAAATCTGCATGTTTGATGAAAGCAACAACTCCCACTCTTAGAAAGAATTTAGAAGTCATGATGTTTATCAAACATACTTAGAAGTCCATAGCGTACACAAACACTACACAAACTATAATTCTGTATAATGCAACTGCAATGAATCTGAACTTCACTAAGGTTTGAGTAAGTCAGATTTCTCTGTTTGTAAGTAGAAGAAAATGAGATGAAGATAAATTCCTAACACCAGGCAAGCTGGACAGCCTCAGCAATAGCTTCTCTTTTCCTGTCAGCTCTGTAAGACTGTGTGCGTAAAAGATGGGGGAAAAAAAAAAGATATAGCAGATATAAAAAGCCATCAGGAGGGAATATATTACAGGAGTAGCAAGAAGAGAACATCGGGCTGCTTGAGTCTCTAAAGTAGGAAGGCCCTCCTGAACGCTGGCTTAAGACTGGAAAGAACTTCTTTTCAGAAAAGAGAAGAAAACTCTTTCTAACAAGATCTTGTTCACTTTTCCTTTCCCACTCCCACAGAAGTGCACCACAACAGAAAATCTGCAAGTCTTTTTACAGCTGGTAATGATCCCAACCAAGAGCTTACTTCCACTACGGTCAGCACTCAGAGATTACAGAAAGCCATACTTTTTCCTAAGCACCTTACAACTCAAACCAAGTAGAAACGTAAGGGAAATAAACAAACTGCTCAATATCACAATTGCCATCCTATGATAAAAGTGTCTGATTTTACGCTTCTGACTTGTAATCCAGAGTCCAACAGAAAAACTGCTAACTGTGCTAAACTTTTCTTGGCATTGACATCCTGCAAAAGAGAAACTCATCCTTGCGAGTGAGGAGTTTGCTACCATATACAGCCATATGACAACGCAAAGCAGGTAACGTTCCTGTAATGCTACAGCTGTTCAACTTAAGACATTTCTTTCTTATGCTTTTTATCTTACTATGTTTGGATTTGACCTGATTTAACTCACAATTTCTGCCATATGGTTTCTAGCTGAACTAAAAAGATTCAAGGCAGATACAGAATATTCTTCTACTCATTTCATGGTAATCCTCAAAACTTTCATTTGAAAAGTTTTCACTTCTGTTTGGTTTCACTTGAGGTATGCATTTTAGTTTTCACCATTCATCTTCTCTGGAAAAGTAAGGGTTACCTATTGTAGAACTAAGCCAAGAAATATTTTTCCTATTTTGCCAAATCTTGTCAAATCATAAATAAAACAAGTTGCAAAAACATTAGAACAAAGACAAAGTTAGCTTTATTTCCATGAAGCATAAGAAACAGTGATTCACTGCTACATGAGTTGCATGGCTACACACCTTGGGAAAATAAATAAGACATTCAGTTACTCCTATAATACACATTTTTATTTCAGTAATTATTAATTCAAATTCCCATAGCTTCCAATATGGAAGTAAGCAAAATTGAGCTTGAAAAACTGTTCATGTCAAAATCCTAGAAACAAATGAAGTCTGAATTTTTCATTCATGACTATTTTGATTCTAGAGGTGTTATTTCACACCATCTGAAAGTATGTTATTTTTACCAGTCATCATGAAGAACCAGAACAGTTGATGCTTTTATCATATAAAGTATTTACAGTGTGTCTTACACTACAGCTTTGTTTGTTCAATGCAAACAGCCACTTCAGTTTAAAACAAGTACAGTTGAAAGAAATATATTACCAAATGATGGAAATCAGCATCGGCTGGTGTCAGGTATGGAAGTTTGCCCTCTCCAAGTTCTTCAAGAAGCTTCTTTTTCTGTTTTGGGAGGTAAAATTGAAGCACAAAGTTAGACTAATAATATTGGAACACAAAGTCAGACTAAGAAACAAGATAAAAGGAAGTAGAAAACCAGTTGTACTACAAAGGCAGATGTGCCATTATTTCTCATCAGTTCTGGAAAAACGATAATGAATAAATAGATGCAAAAGTCAGTGAAGATTTTCCACTTAACAGCAATTCACCTTAAGTAATTACAGAGAAAATGAGTATTTTTTCTCTTAAATTCTTCTTTAGATAATCAAACCTTATTACACAGATGAAAATCCACGTTGGACCAATGTTCTTCAAATCTATGCTGAGTTCGGACTTTGATAACCATTTCTTATTTTGTTTTTCTGCTTTGTTTTGTGGATCTAATAGATATGTGACTCATATTCCATTGAATGGCTTAATTTTTTATTAAAATAATGAGCCTAAACGTTGGCCGCTTTCTAAAGTGATTGTTGAAATGGGCGTATAAATGAAAAACACAAAAAAAAACCCAACACAACAATCAGAAAACACAACCATCTACTGAAAACCATCACTGACAATAATTAAAATGCCATACTCAACATGTGCAATTCCAGCAGACAATAAAATTCTGGTTTGATGCTAGAAGTGACCTCAGAACCAGCTGAATGCATGGAGGTTTTATTCTCTGCCCCTCTATCTCTCAACTCTCTCTTCATCTCTGCTTCAGGGATCTCCACCAATGTTTAGCCAACACTATCACTGATGTATTGTTAAGAAAAAAAAAGCTTAGTTTTCCAAGATCTGTTTTTCTGTTTTTGTTTCTTAAACTAATAAAACTGGCCTAAAAAGCTTCCATTTTTTTCTTTAGATTCTTCTTTCTTTTATCCTGCAAAGATGGTTTCTATAAAAACTTTGTTTATTAACAAAACCTTACTAATAGGAATACAACTCAAAGATCATAAAACCATTTTTGTTATCTGGAGCATTCCAAACAACAAAAGCATTCAATTCTCATTTTTATTGCAATATTTTCAGCTACATGAGCACTATCAGTAAAATAACTGAAACTGCAGCTCGCTCTAAACTTGTTGCAAGAGGAAGAACAGATGACAATGGAACACAGTTTTTAAAGGAACAGGGTTGTGATACAAAGGCAAAAATCATCATAACCAAAAAATAAAAAATAAATTGAGGGACAGATAACTAACAGTTTTCTAAAACATATTTATACAGAAAGAACTGCATATTTCATCACTTAGATGTCACTGTAAATTGCTTATTCCATACAGAGCTCATCGTTACAAAGCAACAATTCTTATTCTTCTCATAAATTTTCCTTTTCGTAATCTTTTCAGGTTGCAACTGTTTAATACGTTCCATATACACTGAAAACAGATTTTTTACATTCTGGCAATCCTATTATAAAAAGGGAGGAGGGGGAATTATTGTATGTAATAACTCCTGGCTCATAACAAACACCTAAACAAGGATAGGTGAACTATGAAAAAATGCTAATACGCATTTTATTCAGTGGTGGCAAACAACTGAAATGTAGGCACCAAGACAGAAGACAGACAGACTTAAATTATGACAGCAGAGGTTTTATGGTTTATAACTACCAGCACAGCCAAATAGAAATTTGAGCAGACAGTTCTCATATACTCATCTCCTCATTCACAATCTGCTGTTCTTCTTACAAGACCGACAACACAGCAGCACTGGAATTTGGAAAGTAGAACTGTAATTTTTCTAGGTCTCTAGTTTCCATTGGGGACACATTATATATTGACATCAAGTGAAGCAGAGCATAATGCAGCTTCAGATTATGTTGGCAGAAAATGACATGCTAATATGCTGTATATTCCAAAACAATAACTCTTTTCTATTATGAAAAGCTTGCTACAATTTTATTACATGAAATCACTGAAAACATTAGATTGCTTTTGTCAGCTGTAAAATAAAACCCATTAAACAGCAGAAAAAAAAATCCTGCACTTCAAACACGGGCTCAACTGTGGGAAAAAGAGGTGGGAAGAAGAGAGATTCTGACAATTTCTGTGTCAAGTCTCGGCCTCCTGGCAAAAACACACACAACATTGAAATGCACTCTTGTGTATAGGTAGTACTTGCTCACATGTGATTGTCAGATCTGGCTAAGTGCCGCGCCTCAGCTGATGTACAACTAATACACACAGCTGGGTGGTGGAACGCACCGCTCATCTCCTATGCGAGAAGCTGTCACACGGATGTCAGAAGCATCAAGCCACTCTCTAGTACCTCCAAAAAGTCAAAAAAAGGAAGTCTGAGGATCTAGCTGCGCCAGCTGGTTGATGCCAAGCGTAAGCACTGCTACACAAGCACTGCACAGAGCGCGTCTAATCCTTAAGTGAACCTTCGCGTACGAAAAACTGCCTTTCCTTGAAGGTACCTTTTATATGTTGCTAAATTGGATTTGTTACATTTTAAAAACTATTGGTGCCAAAACAGTTTATTCACACATCCACACTGTTTCTTATGTTTTAAAGAACAGATTTTTACACATATGTGAGCCACTCTGAAAGTAATGCCTCCTATTTACCTCCATGGAAACCACAACAGATACAAAGAGCACTATTTGATCCAGCAATCTCAGCTACACCATGCTATTTTGCAACAGAGTCATCTCTATTAACTATGCATTGTGGCCAGCCATGAACAAGAGCCTGCATACCATGTTCATAGCAACGCATCAGCAGAGGTGACTACTGGCACTGCTGCTGAAACGCATCACCCACCACCTCACTGTGCTCTCATCCACTTGCTGGTCTCCATAAACGTTCAGCAAGCATTGATGAATGCCAACATGTGCCATTTTTTCCACATGGAGTAATTCAATGACACACCTTATTTTCCTAAGCGCTTCCGTGTCAGACGCCATTCTGTCAGACTGCCCCTCTGCTGCCATCTGTCACACAGCAACAAAACATAACACAATACTGGTGGGAAAGTTCAACCTCTACCGCCATACCACCAGCATCAACCTCTGCAGTTATAGGCCAGTGTAATAAAATAGGATGCATTACTTTCTGAACAGCCTCATAGACTACCAACCAATGCCATCTGCACCATCCCTATAACATCAGCACACTCTGTGCTCCATCCAGGAAACTTTCCTGAATGCTGCACTTGGGCTCACAGGGACCAGAATGAATACCGAAACACTAATACTCAATTTTAGAGCATTCAATGAACTTCCTGAAGATACTAGCAGTATCTGATCATGTATTAGTAATAAATGGATATATTGATAAGATTGTTGGGTATTAAATTTAGCAAATGGAACAGCAATAAGCAGAATCTCTCAACCAAAATGTGTACAAGTTATTTCATGGCACCAGAAGTAATGCACTGAAGGAATTACAACAAAGCCAATCCACACTAAATTCACATATCAAAATACAGTATTGTTATGTACATAGTTTGTTTTTGCATAGTTTTTGCAGCTGAGATATTTTCCTGCAGGTTGTCAATGCCATTCTTAAAAGGTTTCACTTCCCTCTTTATTGTAAAAGAGAACTTCAATAACTATACTACAAAGGTTTGTCTCAAACGTAGAATTTCTACTGAGTTTCATCAAATCTTCTCCTTCCAACTGATTGATCATTATTTTGGCTGAAACAATGTACTGAAAAGTAATTACACTCAAGTATTACTGAAATTACTGCTGAAAACAAATTTAAGGCCAAAACATCTCAACAATTTCTAACATACAAAAAATCTGAAAGCATTAAGCAGAAAAATTGTTTTTCCATTACTTAGTATAAAACACACTCAAAAAAATCATTGAAGAAGTTGCAATTATGCACAGAAGCCAACTTAAGACAACGCCAGCAGGATTTGCCTCCAAGATAACCCCCAGGGCTGTTTGCTGCCCTGCATTTCCCATGAACACAAGGGAAAGCATCAGCTTTGCTACACCAAGTAATCTCTCCAGGCCTGGAGCAGCACCCCATACAGATGTAAAAAGCAGACACATATCCAAGACATGGACAGACAATAACGCCTATCAAATATTTAGACATGTTGGCTTCCAGTTCTACAACAAGCACTCCCTCTTATGAGCAGTTAAAATATATTATTTATTCTAATTACCCTGTTCCCCAAAAACATGGCTGTTACTCATTGCTCTGGAAAGATACATCTCATTATTCCCCCCCAAAAAAGATATTTCAAAAAAGAGGGCAATTTGAAACTTCAGACAAGTGCATTTGCAACATATGAGGGAATGCAAGCAATTTGCATTCAGCTGTTGGGTATGTACTTTCACCTTACAATCAGCATTACACAGTACAAAGCAGAAGATGAATCCCACTATGGAGAACATGCATGGAAAGATAATTCAGGCAAACCAAACACCACACTGTTGCATTTATCTTCCTGTTGTCTTCCTGTTTTTACAATCATTGATTTTCACTCAGTCATATTTTCATTATTGGCAAGGATACCATACACTCAATAAGCTGAGGACCGACCATCTGTTATATTCTGCAAAAGGCTGAGAACAAGCTGAATACTTGGATCACCTCCTCAGGCAAGTACCAGTGTGCCAGTTATGCTGAAAATAGCACCATCAACAAATTCCCAAGGGCAGTTGTTTTGGTCTGAGTTTTTTTGTTTGTTTGTTTTTTGAAGGACTCTGATCAAAGATGAGGGAAGTATCATCTCCACCTCCATATTGTTTTCATCAGTAGCTTTTTGTTTCATAGGAGGTTATCAGAATTAGGAAGGCAGCCCTTACTTCCCCCACACAAAACGCATACTCTCACAACAGAACTCAACCTCAAGCCCAAACACAAACATTTGGCTTTCTGTAAGCCCCTCCTTTCTCTTAACTTTTTCCTTCCATAAGGACGCACAGTGGGGTCTGTGTGGTTTTGTTGTTGTTTTTCAGCTGTTACAGAATGTGGATTTACTTCAGGTCGCTGATGAAGAAAAGGGTTAGCGCTCTCAAGCAAGAGAAAAGAGGAAGATTAAATAATTTA